TCACGATTCACAGAGCACAAAAAAACCGGATCACGGCGTCACGAAAATACCCTTGCCCCCCCTCTTGATACCAGGTCAGTTAGTTGGTTTCAGTCGTATCTGCATGGTAGAAGCCAAGTTACATCTGTTGGCAGTACTTTGTCATCTGCTGCTCCAATGACAGTAGGGGTCCCGTAGGGAAGCATTCGGGGCCTTTATTCTTTATTCGTTGATTTTAATGTTAATCTTCTCATACTTAACACCTCAAATTGCAAACTTATGGTCTTTGAAAACACAAGAAAACTGAACAATATTCAATTAATGGAAATTCAAGTTGGGGAAACTGCCTGAGAAATAACTGAAACTTTTAAGTACGTAAGGATTGTACTCATTGAGAACTTTACATTGCATGATTGAAAATTAACCAAAGGATTGGAGTAGTTAGGGGAGTGAAGCATTTATAATATTACCTTTATCAGCTAGGTTAACTCTCTGTAATAGCTTAATTGTCCCTTTTTTCGACTCAGGAGATATTGTTTGGGGGGACCAAAATAACAACACTTTAATGACACATGTACAATCCTTACTAAATAAGGTGGTCACAATTATTCAAAATAAGCCAACACGTAGCTCAGCTACTGACGCTTGAAATACCTTACAAATCACAAGCCTTTAAGTAGCAGGAGAAAGTGCCATCAATTAATATCTGTATTCAATTGCTCAAATGGTAAGATTAATTTTAATTTTCAGTCAAAACTTCAACTTCTCATCGTAATTATAATACATGTAATAATTTTCATTTAAGTAAGGTACACACTAATTGGGGTAAACAGGGATTTGTTTATAATGCCATAAAGGAATACAATGACTTAGAAGTTAGCATGAGAGAAGTGAAATTGTCACATATTTTTAAAACTAGTCTCAAGACCCTTACATAGTTCAATCTTTCTTTGTTGAATTATATAATTTTTCTTGTTTGATCTTTGTATTTAGTTTGTAATTTAATTTATTTTCAAGGTCCTATTGAAGACCACCTTGGCGAGTTGGGTTCCCTGGTTAACTATTACAAAAAATATTATTATTATTATTATCATTATCGTTATCGTTATCGTTATCGTTATCGTTATCGTTATCATTATTATTATTATTATTAGTTTAAAAACACAACAACGCTTTTCAGTTTTCGGAACATGTTTCGATGCTTCAAACATCATTATCAGCCATAATGAATATATAAGGTTTACAGAAAGATCATTATTATATATGTAACAGCCTATACAATGAGCCTTTATAAATTTAAATTAATGTAAAATGCAAACTTATTTAAACTAACCAACAAAAATTTAGAAAGAACAATAGTGAAAAACCACTGAGCTGAAATAGATACATTTAAAAGTGTAATGATAAATTGACATGCTCAACTTGTTTGTTGAGTTCGGGATTTTTCTACCTACACAGGGAAGAGAATTTCATCTATTATTAATAAATATTGCAAAGATTTAAATGTAAAAGTTATTTTCTCTTCTTTCAAACTTAGCAGTATGTTTAGTCCTAAAGATCTTATTCCCGAGTCTCTTAAATCACATGTTGTGTACCAGTTTACATGTGCGAGCTGTGAAGCTCCTTATCTTGGTGAAATCAATAGGCATTTCCACACACGTGTTAAGGAACATCTTTTTCGGGACAAAACTTCCCATGTTTTTAAACATCTCAATTGTTCTAAGCAATGTTGAGACAATTGTGATGCCTCCAGTTTTAAAATTATTGATTTTGCTAAGACTTTCTCACAACTTAAAATCAAGGAGAATTTTCATATTGAACGGTTAAATCCAGAACTCAACAAACAAGTTGAGCATGTCAATTTATTGTTACACTTT